TATTCAGGAAGCTAAGATCTGAGGTCCAATGTTTGAAACCAGCCCAGGCAGGAAAGTCCGCAAGACTCTTATCTCCAATTAACTACCAAAAAATTCAGAAGTGGGGCTGTGGCTCAAGTAGTAGAGTGCCAGCTTTGAGCAAAAAAACTCAGGGACAGCACCCAGGCCCTAGAATTCAAGCCCAAGTACTGAAACAAAATTTAAAAAAAAAAAAAAAAGCAAGACAAAGCAGCCAAAATCCAACTTTTTTTTTTTTTGCCGGTCATGGGGCTTGAACTCTGGGCCTGAGCACTGTCCCTCAGCTCTTCAGCTCAAGGCCAGCGCTCTACCACTTGAGCTACAGCACCACTTCTGGTTTTCTGGTAGTTTATTGGAGATAGGAGTCTAACAGTCTTTCCTGCCCGGGCTGGCTTTGAACCGCAATCCTAAGATCTCAGCCTCCCGAGTAGCTAGGATTACAGGCATGAGCCACCAGCGCCTAGCCAAAATCCAACATTCTTACATCTTTGCCTCCTCTTTTTTTTTTTGGGTCTGGTTGTGGGGCCTGAACTCTGGGCCTGGGCGCTATCTCTCAGCTCTTCAGCTCAAGGCTAGCGCTCTATCACTTGAGCCACAGCGCCACTTCCGGCTTTTTTCTTTTTGCTTATGTGGTGCTGAGGAATCGAACCCAGGGCCTCATGCATGCAAGTTAAGTGCTCTACTGCTGAGCCACCTTCCCAGCCCCCACCTTTGCCTCCTCTATGGAAACCTTGTGTAGTTCTACCAAGGCTTCACATGGACTGCCTGCTTGCCTCCTACAGAAATACCTGGGACCATAGATCCTCCTTTAGGAGAGCAATGTCAGGTAATAAAAGAGACAATTTTCTTTGTGCACAAGTCTTAAGAAGCCTGGCTAAGAAAGCCATGAAAAATAAAGGCCTTTGAACAAGATCTATATGCTGCAGATAGCATTTTGGCTTCTCAACCCAAGTACCTTACCTTTTCACCAGCCTTCTGTCCTAGGGCCTTCAGGCAGAAGTCTCTCAGGTTTCCATAAGGATCAGGAATCAGTTCCTTGAATTGCACATCATAGAAGAGGTTGGCCCGGAAGCAGGGAGTCTTGAAAGAGGCCACTGGTTGTTTCAAGTGCAGTGCAGCAAACACATCCTCTTGAACCTGTGGGGTAGCTGTGGCAGTCAGAGCCACACATGGGGCATTTGCTAGGCGGGAACGCAGGGCACCCAACCGCAAGTAGTCAGGGCGGAAGTCATGTCCCCACTGAGAAACACAATGAGCTTCATCCACCACCAAGTAAGAGAGCAGGTGGCGGGACAAAAGGGAATTCAGGGTGGGTTGGAAGGATGCTGAGGCTGCCATCTCTGGAGTGATGTACAAAAGCTTGGTCCGAGGCTTTTCTTGCTCCAGGTCAGAGAGCAGCTCCTTCCTCTCCTGTGCTGACAGTTTCGAGTTCAGGGAACTCACTTTTATCTTTAGGGCCAACAAGTGGTCCACCTGGTCCTGAAGGCAGAAAGAGATGCATCCAAACTGGGGGACAATTGGCTCTCAGAACCTCAATGGTAAAGATCAATGCACATCCTTGGGTGCTTTCCCAGTCATAAAATGGCCTTACCCACCCTCCAGTGTCTTCTCTTTGACCAGAAGTACAGAGGATAAAGTGATTGAGAGGAGAGGCCCTAGGGTCAGATTCAGATCTGATCTTAGCACATGTAATTGTTTCAAGCTCTCTGATTCTTAACCTCTGAGACTCAGATTTCACTCAGTTACCCTTTTATACCTTCCTTCCCCTTTCTCCCTTCTTTCCTCCCCTTCTACAAATAGTAACTACTTAAGAATAAAATAAAATATACCCCAAAGGTGAAATGAATGTAGCACAAAGCCTGAGACCTAATGAGCATTTGCTATGTACTACTGTTGTTTCCCATTTACTTTTCTTTACAGCAGATGGGTTTATAAATACATAAACATTCTTCCTCAATTCTGATTCTATCAGCCTACATCTGTAGCACTAAAAACAGAACATCTGCAGAGCAAATGTTAACCAGGTCCCTACCAGTTTCTCACCTTCCTCACCATCCCCCCACCCACCCATTGCACATACCAGTGCAGTAGCAGTTTTCCAGTTTTAGCTTGTCCAAACTAAAATAGAATACTAGGGGTTCCCAGTGTCAATTTAGCTACCTATAATCCTGTACCTTTATGAGTGCTTATGTAAATGAATAGGTACAGTCTTCCATACACCTCTAAATAATGAAAAGAGGAAAGTAAGTTATTTCAGGCCATCAAAATACAGAAGACTCCTTTATGACCTACCAGTGATATGCACTAGTGAAAGATCCTATGACTGGGGAATTCAGAAGTTCAATATAGACAGTGATATAGGCAAATCAGAGAAAATAAGAGACAAGGACCAAAAAAAGGAAAAGGAGAAGTGAAATTTCTAGCTATAAAAACCCTTCCCCATACCATTTTAGAATAAACCCAAACAGCCTCACCTGAATCAAAGCAATGAGAGGAGAGATTACAATGGTGATGCCTTTGGCCAACACGGCAGGAAGCTGATAGCAAAGGGATTTTCCTGCTCCTGTGGGCATGCACACAAAGACATCCTTGTCACCTAAAAAAAATACAACAGATAACATACTCAATACTTTCAAGGTTGTTGAAACTTAAATGTTAATATTGGAAAAGTACCTAGCAGAGTGTTTGGCACATGGGGTCTCAATATTGTATTTCCTGTCTTTGAATAGGCAGGGGTCCTGGGAAGTTTGAAAATGCATGCAAACTATTTCTGGTAATTGTTTTAAAAACAAAAGTAAGAGCTGGGATGTAGCTCAGTGGCAAGTGCAACATCCTTAGCCCCCCAAAAAAGACAAAACAACAACAAAAGAAGTCTAAATCTACTGTGTGGATAATGGAACTAAACGGCCATTAAAAAATACTGCTAGGAAGGAGGTAACTACAGTATAGACATACAAGGACCTCACTCAGAGGTCATTATAAGTGTCACTGAAGGGCTGAGAATATGGCTTAGTGGTAGAGTGCTTGCCTAGCATGCATGAAGCCCTGAGTTCAATTCCTCAGTACCACATAAACAGCACTGTGGTTCAAGAGGTATAGTGCTAACCTTGAGCAAAAGAAGCTCAGAGTCAGTGCCCAAGCCCCAAGTTCAAGCCCTAGGACTAGCAAAAAAAAAAAAAAAAGTCATTGCAATTGCCCTACTGCTCCATGAGTCACTGAGTCAACTCTGGAACCCAGATTAAACTTTAATAGAAGATTCAATGACTAGGCAAGACAAGGCTAGTGTGGCCACCTGTGCTACTGCTTACATAGAAACTAGAATGGAAAACTAGCAACAGTTTTCAAAGACAATTTGTAGATCTGGCTATGAAAGTAATAACCAGATAACCAGCACAGTGAGGAGGTCCTGCAATTAAAACCAGAAGCTTTTTAGGGGTAGGTACAAATGGCTCATGCCTGTAATTCTAGCTATTCAAGAAGTTGAGAGCTGAAGTCAGTCAGGCCAGTAAAGTCTGTGACTCTTATCTCCGATTAACTATCAAAATGTTGGAAATGACACTGTGACTTAAAGTGGTAGAGTGCTAGCCTTGAGTACAAAAAGCTCAGGGACAATGCCTAGGCCCTGAGTTCAGGTCCTAGGACCAATACACACCCCCCAGGGACAGCGTCCACCCTGAGTTAAGGTCCCAGTACCAAAGGGGGGGGGGTGGGAGGAGAAATTGGAAGCTTTGGTTGACACGTGTAAAAGATCTTCCAACCAGGTGCTGGCTTCTCATGCCTGTAATTCTAACAGGAGGCTATGATCAAGGTTCAAGTCCACCTGGGTCAGGAAAGTCCGTGAGACTCTTATCTCTAATTAACCACTAGAAAACTGGAAGTGGTGCTGTGGCTCCAAGTGTTAGAGCACTAGCTTTAAGCAAAAGGGCACAGCGCCCAGGCCCTGAGTTCAAGCCCCTCAACCGACCAAAAAAAAAAAAAAAAAGGTTCCCAAACCAGTTATAGACCAAGGGTGAGGTGATAGGTAAGATTAGGAGGGCGTTCAGTTGTAGTGCTATAATACGGCCATGAGAAATGTAAAGCAGGTAGCTTGTTACCTTTCACGACAGCCATAGTCGCACGCTCTTGTAAAGGTGTCTTAAAAGTGTCAAACCCAAAGACCTTCTTCAATGCGTTCCTAACTCGCCGCTCAGGGTCAAAGGGAGTGGACGAAAGGTGGGTGTTCATCTTAGCAAAAAACGGTAGCCACACGTTTAGGGCAAAGGTAGTAAAGAAAGGCTGAATGGAGAACCCTCAGTACTGCTTTTAAAATGCAGCCTATTTTTCTTCTGTTAGTATAAATCTGCTACACTACACTGGATACCTTATTTTGAAATAGTAAAGCTCCCAATGAGCTGTCTCAAGAAATACCTTCCTGGATAATTAGTATCTCCCGATTTACATTTAGTGAAATTAAAACAGTGAGCTATCCCAAGCCACAGAGCTGGAAATCAAATGATAAGAACAAAATGTCTTCAGAACTGTTCGGCGAACGTGGAATCGTTTTTCTAGGATCCACCTTCTACGGCTGTAGGCGCAACCATGACGACCGCCGCCCCCCGGCCCCCATCCCGACGCCGTCCCGCTGCAGCCGCAGAATCAACGATTTCCTCTCTTCAATAGCCGAAGGCTCTCTCTCTTCCCACCAAACATATCCGTTTTTCGTGAGCCGCCCGCCCAGGCTCTCGCAGGGCTCCACAAACTGTTCAAGGAAGCCCCATGACACCACCTCCAACTCAGAAATCAAACGGCACCAGAGTTCAGTCAGGCAAAAATCCCGTCTTACATCCGTCGCGCAATGATGACGTTCACGGGCGCTAGAACGACGGGGCAGGTCTAGCTCAGAAGCGGCCGTTTTGATTGGCTTCTTTTATGGAGCCGGGGGCGGGATCTCCTGGTATCCGGAAAAACGTTTGCTTTTCATCCGGAAGTGAGTGTTTGAGTCATAGGTCTGAGCCGCCGTGGGGCTGTGGGAATAAGATGGCGGGGAAGAAGAATGTCTTGTCGTCTTTGGCAGTTTACGCAGAGGATTCAGAGCCCGAGTCTGATGGCGAAGCTGGTGGCGAAGCTGTGGGCAGTGCAGCTGGTGAGCCTCGAGCTGGAAGGGGGAATGGGTGTTTGTCCGGAAGGCTGCTCCTCTGTTAGGGAGGGATGGAGAAAAAGATACAATTGCCCCCCATGTGTCGGACCCTAGACCCCCGAAAAGTAGTCATTGTACTGGGTTTGATAGAGAATTAGAGACTCTGAAGTAAGAATGAACCCTCCATTTTTGTTTCTCCCATTTTTCTGAAACTTACTGAAAGTCTCGCAAGGTGCTGGAAGAAGGATGGACTGGAGGAGAGAGCTATCCAAGGCAGTCATGTCACTGTTTCCTTGGGCTCGTTATTTGAAAAGTCAGAGAGGAGAGAAACGTACATGAGGAGTGGTGTGTAGCCTGTGTCTTGTTCGATTGGTAATTGTATTTGTGTGTGTACGTGTGTATATGACTCACTGATACTGAGGGCTTGAATTCAGACTCTTGCGCTCCACCATTTGAGCCACACCTCTCCAGTTCCAGCTTTTTGTTATAATTGGAGATAAAAAAGTCTCCCAAATATGCCTGAGCTGGCACTGAACCTGATCCTCCGATCTCAGCCTCCTGAATAACTAGGATTATAAGCATGGGCCACCTTCTCCCAGCTGTGAATTTCAAAATTTAGTTGATCAGAATTTAGTGTTTGATTTATCTTCCTTGTTCTTTTAATAATTTCATCCACACTAAATCGTGGTCTTCCCAAGTGCATAATCTAGACCCTTGGTACCTTACCTGAGATAAAGGTTTATGTTTTATCTTGGGAGACAGCTCTGGCCGTGTAATTTACAGGATTTTTTTTTTTTTTTACATTGCTCCCCCTCCCCCCTCCATTTTCCTGTCTCAGAAGAGAAAGGTGGATTGGTATCTGATGCCTATGGTGAGGACGACTTCTCTCGACTAGGGGGTGATGAAGATGGATATGAAGAAGAGGAAGATGAGAACAGTAAACAGTCGGTAGGTAAATCTCCCAAATGCAGAGGGACTCAAAGCACCATTTTAACAAGTACCATTTGGCAGAAACTGCCTGAACTGTGTGTGCCAACATTATTCCCTTTCATGGCTGACTTCATGCCTCTCATCCTTTTGTTTGATAAAAGTTGAAGAAAATAGGTTGAGGACTGCGAATGTAGTAGTAGAGCACTTAGCATGTTGAGGGTTTACTCTTCAACACTGCAAACATAGATCAACAAACTGGGATTGAATAGTAGTAACTCTGTTGGGAAATTACATTTGTTTTCATCTACATCATTTTATATAAACTCATAAATTGAAATTGGGAGAGGATGATGAAGACCATTTTATTTAACCCAAGTATCAGTGAGTGGTGTTTTTGTTGTTGTTGTTGATCTTCTGTGTTTCAATTCCATTTCTAATAATGTTTTCATCCTAGTAGATACATCATTTGTATCTGCAGTCAACTCTTTATTATTTTTAAGTTTGCTGGGAGCTCATCCAAATACTTGAGTTCATTGATAAGGAAAATTATTTTGCTTCATCCATTTTGAACATTCCCCCCCCTTCTCTCTCTTTGTCCTCTCTCCCCCTCCCTCCCCTCCTCCTGATGGTAGGGCTTGAACTCAGGCCTTGACTCTTTTGTTTGGCTTTTCCATTCACTGCTCATGCTCTACAATTTGATTGGAGTTATGCCTCTACTTCTAGCTTTTTTGCTGTTTATTTGGAGATAAGAATTTCTAAGATTTGTCTGCCTAGGCTGGCTCTGAACTGCAACAATTCTCAGATCTCAGTTTCCTGAGTAGTTAGTATTACAGATGTGAGCCTCCATGCCTTACTTAACATCTCTCTTTATTGTAGTTGGTGCTTTTGAGTGCCCTTGGTTTTGAATCACAAATCTTCCCTGAAGTTAAGTAAGCTCTGGGTAACAAAGAAAAGAGAACTTGGGTTTTATTAACAAGAATGACTTTGGATACAAGTTAACTGAACAGCATGAATTAAAATTTAAAAGTTTAGTGAAAAAGCAAGGACATTCGGGTTATAGTGCTTAGCACAAAGAATACAAAATTGATTACGGAGCTAAACTCAGTAGTCAATTCTGTTCTAATTAAAACATAATGTATAGGCTGGGAGTGTGGCTTAGTGGTAGGGTGCTTGCCTAGCATGCATAAAGCCCTGGGTTCAATTCCTCAGTACCTCATAAACAGAAAAAGCCACAAGTGGCGCTGTGGCTCAAGTGGTAGTGCCTTGAGCAAAAACAGCTTGGGACAGTACCCAGGCCCTGAATTCAAGCCCCAGGACCTGCCAAACCCACACTTGCCCACACTTGCCGCCCCCCCCCCCCCCACACACACACACAGTGTACTTTTTTATTTGCTTGAAATTTTCATTACAGACTGAGTGTTTATATTTCTATCTGAGCCCAGTGGTGACATTTGAAATCCCATCACTTACACATGAAATTCCAACCTTAGAGAGGCTAAAGTAGGAGGATGAGAATTGAAACTTGCAAGATGCTGCTCAAAAAAAGAAAAGAAATACACACACACATACACTAAAAAGAAAAATTAATAAAGATAAGGTCTGAGTAGATAAGGTAGAGTGTTTGCCTAGAATATGAAAGGCTATTGGTTTGATTCCCGCACCAAAAATTTAAATGAGTAGGTAATTAGAAACTGAACTGCAGTTAGAAACTGAAATGTATCTGGGCCTCAGTGTCTTACGCCTATAATCCTAGCTACTCAGGAGGCTGAGATCTGAGGATTGAGGTGTAAAGCCAGCCCCAGCAGAAAAGTTGTTTAGACTCTATTTCTTAGCTAGCAAAAGGCCAGACTGGAGGCATGACTCAACTGGTAGTGCAGCAGTAGAGCAAGCAAACCCAGCAAGCTCAGAGACTGGAGTTCAAACGATGGTACTGGCAAATAAATAAAGCATTCCACATAAGCAGATATATATTTTTCATTAAGTGCTCTTTTGTGACATTTTATGCTTTAGTCCCACTGATTAATATAGATAATTCAGAGTTGACTGTAATAATTGAGAAATCCTTTGCAAGTTCTTTTATTTTTCTCAAATATGTGTATACTACCTTAATAGCTATAGGTCTTTTCTTTAATACATTTGTGTAATGCGTGTTTTTTAAATAATTTTACTTGCCTTGATTTTTTTGTTGTTAAGCTTTACTTCATATTTTGGTATGCTCTCATCAAATCCCTACATACTTTAAATTGTAATTGTATTTAGCTGAATTCAATCTAATTATTTGGCTGATTGACTTCATCTTAAGGTTATAGAAATTGCACTTAAAGTCTTTGTTGCACTGACACTTTAAGAGGTAGTTAAGTCTCAAGTCCATCAGTCTAGTTTGCCATGTCTCTTAGGTGTGGAGTAGTACTAAGTCATGTTTGAGTTAAAACACAGCTTTGTTGACAATAACAATTCAAGTGAAACCAATTTTTCCTGAGCATTTAAAGGCTTTCAGGCACTGAATGTTGTAGGTGATGGAAGCAATCTGTATTCCTCCTGATCGTTGACCTTTGTTGCATTAGCTAGTGCACTGGTAGACTTGATTTGGAGAATGCCTTACCCACATGGTGCTCTTGAATTAGGTAGGCCTCATTTGGATAAGGAACAGGATGGATACAGTGGGAAATGACCGTAACGTGAGCACTTAGGTGAAGGCAGAACCTATTCAACTGGGACCTAGTTGAGTAGTCCTGCCTTTCCTGGGTCACTGACTCTGACCATTTGGTTCCCACTTCTCTGTTTTCAAGTTAGTGCAAATGCTGGGGTATAGATGTATGTGAGTCTCAGCACTCTGATGTTGAATAATAATTGTGGTAGGTCCATGTCTGATGTATTGTGGATATGATAGACAAAGAAGGAAAAAAGTTTATAATCCTGGTTTTAAGTCATATTTTAGTGGAAACACTATGCCTGTTTGATCTTGTGGCCTGGTCTCATTTTCTGAAACATACTGTGACTTCTCTCCACTTTTTATGTGGTGTTTTCATTGATGTGGACTAGGACACTACTGGAATAATAGTTGACTGTGAGCTGCTGACTGTTTGGTTCCTCGCCTTCCAAAATAAACAAAAAAATCCTTTTTCCTTCTCTTTCTCTAGTTTTGGGCTGGTAGGGAAGGGGTTCCTGGTGGGATGACCCCAGCTGGGTAAATGAACTGTTTGGCCTAACCCCTGGTTATGCATGCGAGACATTTAGGCCCACTCCTTTTAAGCTTAATCCTCAATTCTTTGTCTTGTAGGAAGATGACGATTCAGAGACTGAAAAACCTGAGGCTGATGACCCAAAGGTATTTGGTGTTGGCTATGGTGGGGTGGCTGGATACGAATAAGGCATTTTAACATTATGGTTCAGCTCATTTGTCTGGTCAAGATCTGTCTGGCTAACCTATGGTGTCACCATGTGGATCTTTCGGGGATAAGAGCAGCTTTATAAAGAAAGAACCTTCGAGAACCTCAGAGTACATCCTGAGGCAGATAGGATTTCCTTCCTTGCACATTATCAGAATTCAGACTAGAAAGATGAGAGAACTGTCTCTGAGTCTGTCCTCTTTCCCACCCCTCATCTTTCTTCATCTTCCTTTTTCTCCCTCCACCCCAGGTAGGGCTTTGTCGGGGCTTTGACCTCTCCAGGTGATATTAGGTGAAGTGTTTCTAGAATCAAGAAGACATAAGAGCTTTCTAATATACTCTATCTAGATTCTTAGTCACGGAGAAAGAGCTGTGAAAAGCTTGGACCAACATGAGGCCTCACCCCAGCTCTACTTCCAATTCTCATTTTCCCACTGTGACTTTCCACACTTGGGCAAGCTGAGAAGAATAGTGGGTTGTGGGGCTTGAACTCAGGGCCTGGGCACTGTCCCTGAGTTTTTCAAGACTAGCACTCTACCACTTTGAGCCACAGCTTCACTTTTGTTTTTCTGGTGGTTAATTGGAGATGAGTCTCACGGACTTTCCTGCCAAGGCTAGCTTTGAACCACAATCCTCAACTCTCAGCCTCCTGAGTAGTTAGAATTCTAGGCATGAGCCACCAGCATCTAGCTTGTTTTTTGTTTTTGTTTTGTTTTGTTTTGGTCAGTCATGGGGCTTGAACTCTGGGCTTGGGTGCTGTCCCTGCGCTCTTCAGCTCAAAGCAAGCATTCTACCGCTTAAGCCACAACACCACTTTCGATTTTTTTAATTTAATTTAATTTTTTTTGCCGATCATGGCACCTACCACTTGAGCCATAGCACCACTTCTGGCTTTTTCTGCTTATGTGGTGCTGAGGAATCGAACCCAAGGCCTCATGCATGCAAGGCAAGCACTCTACTACTGAGCCACCTTCCCAGCCCCCACTTCCGATTTTCTACTGGCTTATTAGAGATAAGAATCTCATGGACTTTCCTTCCCGGGCTGGCTTTGAACCTCGATCCTCAGATCTTAGCCCCCTGAGTAGCTAGGATTATAGGTGTGAGTCATCAGCTCCCTGCTTGGAGTTGATCTTTTTTAGAGTTGTTATTTAGCAAGTGATTTGCTGTCATAACTGTTGATTCCACTAGATGGCACTTCCTTTCTACTTTGACTTTTCAGTATCCTCTTTATTCCTTTTTTTTGTTTTGTTTTTGTTTTTTTATGCTTGTCCTGGAGCTGGGCGTTATCCCTGAGCTTTTGTGCTGAAGGCTAATACTCTACCACTTGAGACATAGCTCTACTTCTTGATTGTTTTGGTAGTTTATTAGAGATAAAGTTTCATGGACTTTCCTGTGTGGGCTGGCTTTGAAAGGTAAAATATTTGACTTAATAATGCTGGGTGCTTCCCAGGCTTCCATTGAGTTGCTTTAAAATAGAGAATTCCATACTCTGAATTGTGCTCAGAGAATAGCAGTTATTAATATGGGAGAGTTTCAGTCCACATCATGGAGGTAAAAGAACAAGGCTTAAGGGGACATTTGAAATAGAAAGGTGGTAGGAACCAGATACAGAACATGAGCAACAGTAGAATTACATAGAAGGAGTTTACCTATGCATACTAAAGAATAAAGAACATTAAGTCATCTCTGACCAAATGTAGTTTGAGCTGCTTCATGGAGTAGCAAGCTCTCTGTTTCTGGAAGTTTTTCAAATATTGAGAAACTATTTGTCAAGCCAGATCCTAGCTACTCAGGAGGCTAAGTTCTGAGGATCAAGTATCAAAGCCAGCCAGGGCAGGAAAGTTCCATATAATTCTTATCTCCAGTTAGCCACCAAAAAGCCAAAAGTGGAGCTGTGGCACAAATAGTAAGAGTACTAGCCTTGAGCAAAAACAAAAGCTAACAGACAACACCAGGCCTTGAGTTGAAGCTCCAGTACCAACACACACACACACATAAATGTCCAAAAGCAAATTTGTAGATTGAAATTGGATTTAGTCCCCTAAGGGTTTCCTGGGCACTTCCTAAGAAAAGATTTGGTCAGCCGGGCGCTGGTGGCTTGCGCCTGTAATCCTAGCTACTCAGGAGGCTGAGATCTGAGAATCTCCGTTCAAAGCCAGCCCGGGCAGGAAAGACCATGAGACTCCTATCTCCAATAAACCACTAGAAAACCGGAAGTGGCGCTGTAGCTCAAGTGGTAGAGTGCTCTCCTTGAGCTGAATTGCTGAGGGACAGCGCCCAGGCCCAGAGTTCAAGCCCCATGACCGACAAAAAAAAAGATTTGGTCATTATAGATGAGCAAAATTGACTATTAATATTACTATCTCCTGGCTAAAAAAAGGACGAAAACTGTTGAAATTTCCCTACTTCATTAGGTTTTATTGTTATTGTTAGCAGGTCCTGAGGCTTCAACTCAGAGCTGGGCTCTGTCCCTGAATTTTTTTTTTTTGGGGGGGGGGGGTCCGGTCGTAGAGCCTGAACTCTGGGCCTGGGAGCTGTCCCTCAGCTCTTCAGCTCAAGGCTAGCGCTCTACCACTTGAGCCAAAGTGCCACCTCCGGCTTTTTTCTTTATGTGGTGCTGAGGAATCGAACCCAGGGCCTCATGCATGCAAGGCAAGTGTTCTACCACTGAGCCACCTTACCAGCCCCTGTCTCTGAAATTCTTTTGCTCAAAGCTAGTGCTCTACCACTTGAACCATAGCACCACTTCCAACTCTTTTGGTAGTTTATTCGAGAAAAGAGTCTCATGGACTTTCCTGCCGGGGCTGGCTTCAAAGGTCTATTTTGGGGGGGGGGGGGGGTGGGGAGTCTGGTCATGGGGCCTGAACTCTGGGCCTGGGAGCTGTCCCTAAGCTCTTCAGCTCAAGGCTAATGCTCTACCACTTGAGCCACAGTGCCACTTCCGGGTTTTTTCTTTTTGCTTATGTGGTACTGAGGAATCGAACCCAGGGCCTCAGGCATGCAAGGCAAGCGCTCTACCACTGAGCCATCTTCCCAGCCACTCAAAGGTCTATTTTTTATCTGTCAGAGTCACTGTGTAGCCCAAGCTGTCCTCAATAACAGTCCTATGGCTCCAGCAGTCCAAATGGTGGGTTTCTAGGTAAATGCCACCATATCTGGCTGAAACTTACCTAATTTTTATCACACTGGTATTTGGGATTACCTGGAGTGCAAATCCTCTCTTAGGAGAGTTCCCTTGCAGGAAATCTTTGGTCCTGTCTGTCAGTCCAGGATAGCAGGGACTCTTCTTTGATGCTTAATTTGTTAGAAACCAGAGAAGTCAGAGGGGAGGCAGGTGAACATTCCACAGGCAACTGAATTCTTAGGTCTCCTGTTCTATCATTTCTTTTTTTTTTTTTTGGTTGGTCGTGGGGCTTGAACTCTGGGCTTGGGCACTGTCCCTGAGCTCTTCAGTCCAAGGTGAGCACTCTACTGCTTGAGCCACATCGCCACTTCCAGTTTTCTACTGGTTTATTGGAGATAAGAGTCTCATGGACTTTCCTACTGGCTGGCTTTGATCTCAGCCTCTTGAGTAGCTAGGATTACAGCTCATCATTTCTTTTTCTTTAACTTCCAGTTTCTGGTCTTGTTCAAGTACCTTATATTTGTACTCTGATCACTTGACAGAAGGTGGTGCTGCTGTCCCAGAAACTGTCAGACTGATAGTGGCAGTCCTCTGGTAGCTCCTTACTTCAGGGAAGAGGTAGCCCAAGTATTCCTCCATCTTCACCTGTCCTTGGCATCTGCATGTCCCTCTGTGCCCTTTCCATGCTCTGTGTTTTACCTCCGATGCCCTGGGATATTTTTCCTGGTTTATGTTTTTCTTCACTCCTACAGTTCCTGTGGATGGAGGTGTTTCCCTCACTGTCCCTGACACACCCTTCCTTTGAAAACAAGCACAGCATAGATGACCTGGGAAGGGCTGGGAGTGCTGGCTCCCTGAGGTCTTGTGGTCCAGGCCCTGAGCTAGGAAAGGAATTCAAGTGTCCCTGGGTCAAAGAGCTAATAGCAACTAGAGGAAAAATGTTCTAGAATTTTTGGAAAAGGTGTGTTAAAATAAGAGAACTTTTTTTTTTTTTTTGTCAGTCATGGGGCCTGAACTCTGGACCTGGGCACTGTCCCTCAGCTCTTCAGCTGTAGGCTAGCGCTCTACCACTGGAGCCTCAGCCCCACTTCCAGCTTTTTCTGCTTATGTGGTGCTGAGGAATCGAACCCAGGGCCTCAAGTGCAAGGCAAGCACTCTACCACTGAAGCCACCTTCCCAGCCCCAAGAGAACATTTTTTAAGGTACTAAAAGCCAAAGCAGGGTATAGTGGTCACATGCCTGTAATCCCAGCATCCAGGAAGATTGTGAATTTGAGGCCAACCTGGGTTACATAACAATTTTGAAGCTAGTCTGGGCTTGCATAAATAAGAGTGGGCGGGTGGCTGGTGGCTCTTGACAATAGCCCTAGCTACTCAGGACGCTGGAATCTGAGAATTTGTCTGCCAGTCCTAGCAGACAAATTCAAATAACCTACAGAAAATTTGAAAGTCAGGCTGGGAAGGTGGCTCAGTGGTAGAGTGCTTACCTTGCATGCACGAGGCCCTGGGTTCGATTCCTCAGCACCACATAAGCAGAAAAAGCCAGAAGTGGCGCTGTGGCTCAAGTGGTAGAGCGCTAGCCTTGAGCTGAAGAGTTGAGGGACAGCGCCCAGGCCCAGAGTTCAGGCCTCACTACCAACAAAAAAAAGACAGAAAGGAAAAAGAAAATTTGGAAGTATAGGCATGGCTCAAGTGATAGTGGCAGCCAGGAGCAAAAAAAGATGAGTAAGAGCAAGAGGTCCTTGAGTTCAAGCCCCAGTAATTCTTAAGAGCTGGAAAGTAGTGCTGAAATATGGAACTCACAACTTTAATCCAG